AGGGTTTGCTGAGGGCTGTGCAGAGCCCCCCGAGCCCTCAGGGGGCTGAGGAGGAGGATGAGGAGGAGGAGGAAGAGGAGGAGCAGAGCTTGCTGTGCAACCTGCGGGAGGTGCAGTGCCTGATCTGCTGCCTGCTGCACCAGATGTACATCGCTGACCCCAACATTGTCAAGCTGGTGCATTTCCAGGTGGGCCTGCCCTGCCCTGCCCAGGCTGGGGGAGCTCAGGGGCTGCTGGAGGTTCCTCACAAATGAAAATAATCCACTTTTGTCCTTCTGTCTGCCCCCATTTGCAGAGCTCACCCTTCCTCCCTGTCCCAGTGCCTGGTTTAGCGAGATCTCTCTCGTCTCTTGGTTTAGTGAGAAGGCAGCACCCAAACTCTGCTTCTTCCCCCCTTTGTGCCTCTGCCCCTTTCCCTTTGTCCATCTAGGCCAAGGAAATCTGCCCTAATCACCTTGTAATTACTCATTCCACATCTTCTGTGGGTTACTTTTTTCTGGCTTTGTTTTTAAATTAATATTCCCATTATTCAAAACTAATTTGGCTTCAAATGTAAACATCTCCTTATCTTTCCTTTTTGTTTGGGCACAGTTTATCTCTGTGCAGTGGAAGGAGAAAGGTTGGCCCTGAAAAGCAGCTGAGCCCCTTAAAAAAAAAAAAAAAAAAAAAAGAGGGGGAAGATCAGTAATTTCTAAAATACAAATGTGTTTTTAATGCATATTAAATTGCTCCTTGCCAGATGGCAGACTCTTTACAAGGAGTTAATTTGCCTTGACCTGGAACTGATTAAGTGATAAGAAAGTCATTATGGGGCAATTGTGAAATGAGCAGGTTGGGGCTGATGGTGAAATTTGGAGCACAGGAAAGACACAGAAGGAAAAGGTCACTGGAGCCTGCTTTCCTTGGGGGAGTGGGGGGAGAACTTCTATAAAAATAAATCATTGAATATTGATGATAAAGAATTGATCCAGAGCCTGGGTTTGTCCCCAGTCTGCCTCTTGTTCCTTGGCATTCCAGGCCTGCTGCAAACTCTGGACAAAAGGGAATTATAAATACATTAACTTTGAAACAAAGCATTAACTCAGGTGGGATTTAAAATGTGACTTGAAGCAGAATTTTCAAACACACCTGTGGCACACTGCCACACCTCTTCTCTTCCTCCCACAGGGTTATCCATGTGAGCTCCTGGCACTGACAGTGGCTGGGATCCCATCCATGCACATCTGCCTGGATTTCATTCCCGAGCTCATTGCCCAGCCTGAGCTGGAAAAGCAGGTACTGGGCATGGGGGAGAGTGAAACAGTCACTGCAAACATCCTGTTCTGACTTGCCTGGGATCCTCAGGGAATATTTGCAGCACTTTCACATTAAATTAAATCCTGGCGTTGAAGGCAACTGGAATTTGTTAAAAATTCCCTATTTCTGTATCAAACCAACTTTGTAGTTTATCTTATTTAATCCTTTCTGGTATTAACTTACTGCTGAGGCTAAAACTAGAATGTATCAGACCTAAGTATCTTCTGCAAGGGTTGTGGTGCACATTGTGTGTTGCTTTATTGCTCATTATTAATGTTGGAGCAATGGTTCTAGGGGAGATTTTGAAGCACTGATTAATGTTAAATATGCGTGGGTTATTTTTCTTCATACCAGCAGAATTATTATTATTATTACTATTATTATTATTATTAGTATTATTATTAGTATTATTATATATTTATATAATATAATATATATTATATTATATATTATATAAAATTGTTATTCTGCTGGTATGAAGAAAAATAACCCACCTGTATTTAACATTAATAACAATTAATAATGATAATAACTATTGTTAAGGCTTCTTTGGCTTCCATTTCCTTCATGGTAAAGCAGGGAATATTTACATGCTGTTAAGTGTGGTGAGGAGCTTTGGTTAGAAGTTGTGTAAGTTCATTGTTTTTGTCTCCTTTGGCAGATCTTTGCCATCCAGCTGCTCTCCTACCTGTGCATCCAGTATGCCCTGCCCAAATCCCTCAGCGTGGCTCGCTTGGCCATCAACGTGATGGGGACCCTGCTCACAGGTACCACCCCAAAATCCACCTCTGGGGGGCCAGCAGGGTTTCTCTGGGCTGAATGCAGTTTTCTCTGTCTAACTGCTGTTATAAAAGTGACAATTCTTGATTGGATTTTGTAATAATTTATTTTTACTCCTGCATTTCCTCCTCCTCCCTGGCAGTCCTGACCCAGTCCAAGCGTTACACGTTCTTCATGCCCACCCTGCCCTGCCTGGTGTCCTTCTGCCAGGCCTTTCCTCCCCTCTATGAGGACATCATGTCCCTGCTGATCCAGATTGGACAAGTTTGTGCCTCTGATGTTGCCACTCAGACCCGAGACTTCGACCCCATCATCACCCGTAAGTCACAGGCTCAGCACCCCAAAGGGGCCGGGCACAGGGAGATGAGACAGAAATGTGGTGCTGCTGTGATAATTTACTTAATTACTGACTTAATTTACCTAATTATTTACTGAAATGTTGTGGTGGTGTGATAATTTACTTGTGGGGAGTTCTGGAAGGAATTTGAGATGGGACTTTTGAATTGGTTTTGATGGTGTGGTTTATTTTGTTAATCTTTTATATAGGTAGGAAGGGATTGGTTTACATGGTAATAGTGTGGTTTAGAAGGTCACAAGACCTTTAATCACAAGACTTTTTAAGGAGTTATTGATGAATAAAAT